GTCTAGATATAAACATTTTCTTATTATAATAATTCATTGTCGCTGTTACGTGGCTTCGCAGCGAAGACAATAACATTGTAATATTAGTTGTGTAATTGGCTGTTGAAAAAGCTAGTTTCTTTTTAAATAAGTATACTCACAGTGAAACAAGCGATAGTTCAAAAACTATTTATATCTTACCTAACTCATGTATGTATAAACGAATTCATTGCTAAAATACATGGACTAAGTTGGCATTTATTGAATACTTTCTTAGTATTTAAAATCAAAATGCAATGAAGGCTATAAAAAAAAATCAAAATATAATATAAGACGTTCATCGAAATTCAGTATTAGATCAGGCTAAGTAATAATACAAATCAGAACTTCAATAAGTAATTAAAATAAATAAAACTAAGCTTATATTAAAATTAAAATTGATTATTAACCGATTAGGAATATTATTAGGTTGTGATGGGCTAGATAAGATTAAAATAGTAAAATCAAAATATTAAACAGCACTGTAATAACTTCATGTTTTAAGCTAAACAGTTATTAAAAATTATATTCTTCGTCGAGCTGATGTTTTCAACGTAAGACAATACAGAAATATGAATAAAATAAAAAAATGTTATTATGGTTATCTTTAAGTTTTGATTGTAATCCAACTCATACATTTTTGTGCAGCACTAGTGTACATACTCATTGGATACAATAACAAACATACTTTTAGGATCCTATCGTGTAGGGTTCAGATATATTGTAATATCAAATTAAACGATTTTTTTATCTACTTCTTTTTTCTGTATAGTTTTTAAATTCAATATTTAACTTGTCAATGCATATACAGATAAAAAAATCGTTTAATTTGATAACCATAACTTAAAGATAACCATAATAACATTTTTTTATTTTATTCATATTTCTGTATTGTCTTACGTTGAAAACATCAGCTCGACGAAGAATATAATTTTTAATAACTGTTTAGCTTAAAACATGAAGTTATTACAGTGCTGTTTAATATTTTGATTTTACTATTTTAATCTTATCTAGCCCATCACAACCTAATAATATTCCTAATCGGTTAATAATCAATTTTAATTTTAATATAAGCTTAGTTTTATTTATTTTAATTACTTATTGAAGTTCTGATTTGTATTATTACTTAGCCTGATCTAATACTGAATTTCGATGAACGTCTTATATTATATTTTGATTTTTTTTTATAGCCTTCATTGCATTTTGATTTTAAATACTAAGAAAGTATTCAATAAATGCCAACTTAGTCCATGTATTTTAGCAATGAATTCGTTTATACATACATGAGTTAGGTAAGATATAAATAGTTTTTGAACTATCGCTTGTTTCACTGTGAGTATACTTATTTAAAAAGAAACTAGCTTTTTCAACAGCCAATTACACAACTAATATTACAATGTTATTGTCTTCGCTGCGAAGCCGACAAGGTTTAGAATTTACAGTGTTATGTTTTTTTTAAAAGTTGTTTTTAACGTAGGATTTAGCTGAACATGGTGTTTTTACCATTTACGACGGCCTACAAAAGGCAAACCAAACAAAACAAATATGCTACTATGAATTGTAATATCGTGTTAAACAATGTCAATACTGCAATATATATATTTTTTTAAATAAATTATAAATAATTCCGAATTGTATTAATTATAAAAAAATCGGCTAGAATTGATTTTTGTTCAAAAAACAATATGTACATATTCAATCAAGTTTAGTAGGTCAACCTAGTTGGTCCAAATCCGCTTAAACCAAGATGCAAATCTCTAACGAAGATGTAATTGCATATATTTTTTTAGGTCCCCAGCATAGAACTGGTGTTTACAAAACTGTTTAAAGGACGTGAACGTTAAAGAAGGGAAATATGACCCACCTCGAGGGATACCAAAAGATGCAGAAATATAACTCGAATTAAAGAATGTTTATTTGAAATTTAACAGCGACAATGAATTATTATAATAAGAAAATGTTTATATCTAGACGACAAACATCACAGTACAACAACGCAGTTTTTACTGACTTTTATTTAACTCCTGGTTGATTTCATCAATGAATACAATGAGCGATCGTATGATGCCAAAGTCCACTCCCCGACACAATGTTGTCAGACGATTCATGAAAGCCTTCGCGGTTTCCTGAGTACCGAGTTCGGGAAATTCGTCCTTGGCAAATAATACGGCTCGCCATTCGCGTCTCACTTCTGCATGGGTCATCCAATCGGTGGCATTGCACATTAATGACATGGCGCTACTGTGCAGTATTTCTTTTAAAACGTCTATCGCGTAATCTATTGCTTTCTTCCGTTTGGCGACCATGTCGATAGATCTTGCCAATTTCTGGATGTCTGTATCGTCTTCGATGCGTAACACCATTCCGAACTCTGTCAGTAACTCGTGACATTTTTGTACGTAATTGATATACTTGGAAGAATGGCGTTTTATACAACAGGTCCTTCCATATCAGGTGGAAATAGATGATCTTGAAAAAATCAAAACACGCCGTGTAGTACGATTTGATGTTTTGAAAGTTATTTTCGGTCCACGTGATGACACTTAAATTTACCCAGACCTTTGTGAGAATTCGGTCGGCCCCCGTCCAATTCACTTGAACGTCGTACGAACTCATCAATTCACGTCTGGTGTCGTGATCATTGCCCAAGTCGTTCAAGAATAGATTTTTCATTTTCAAAGACTCTGCCAACGCCAAGGTCGTCAGATGCTCGTCTGCGCTCATCGAATCTTTTTTTCGTCCAAAACCAAATGCAATTCATGGTTGTTGTCCCTTACCATTTTTGTTATCTCCGATAAATCGGCATCCGGTTTTCGTTCAAGCCATTGTCGGTACCGGTCGTCTATGTCGAACTTGGAACAACCGGTACCGTGCCAGTCGGACCACAGTAATTCGGTAACATAACTATGTATCGGGAATATAATACTCTCGAGGTTGTACAACCTGCCACTCCGGTCTTCGGTACTCGATTCCACGTCAAAGTAACTCCTCACCAACGCCGTGTACAAATGCAATGCCCACAACGAGCCGATTTTCACACCGTCCAAATTGTACAGTACAGATATTACTTCTCTGCCGTTGTACCACATTATTGTGCTAAGAAGTGAATTCGGCGGAGTCGATGGGTTTGTAATCGCCAGCATGGTCAATCGCATGTGTGTCAGTCCGGACATCACACAAGTGCATTTCAAAGTTATAGATTTGGTAACATTCTCCTCGGATAGTGCGGATCGACACACGGGCACCACCAAACTCGAAACGATTACCAGAAGCAATTTTGAGTGCAGCATTTTATAAGAAATATTATTATTTTTATTATTTTTTTTTTTTTTTTTATAGAATCACCGACTAAAAACTTAAGTTAATAGTGACTTGGAAACATGTCGATTGAACGATTACTTAGAAACATTTTACTTAAAGTTAGAAACGAGCTCTAGTTATTTCATTGTACGCGAATGAAACAAAACGGTTTTGTACCTTTCAATATTTGAACAGACCGTTTGGTATTACGTTTCGTTTACATGTCGGTTTTTGGTCACACAACACTTGAAAACTGCAAAAAAATATGCGAACAATTGTTATTAAATCAAAATAACAAAAATAATGCGCCTAATTTTGAACCCGCTCAAGCTTTACTGATGGCCAACATTCCACTCTACAAGGCGAACTATTTTTAATTTGAAGAGTTTATAGGGAAATATATTCTAACAAACATATCATTTTTAGTACATTATTCACAATTTAAAAAGTTAATGAAATGTATGCGCATTAAAGCCTATGATATATTGAGTGGCTTACGACACAATGATCACCGTGTACAGCGTTCAATATATCAAAAAAATTATTATATTAAAAACAAAATTAATGGTTGATGATAAAACTAATTAACTATTTTAAATAGTATGAAAAAATAATAATAGAAATAGTAAAATCTGTTTTTAGCTGTTTATCATTATAATTTACTTTTTGCAAAAATTAAATATTTTTTAATACTTAAGTACAATTTTTTTTTCTAAATTAAATTTTAAAAACTGATTATGACCTGCAATCGACTAAACGAATACAGTTAACACCGAATATACGTGTACAGGTGTTAAAATAGATTAAATTCAGTTTGTCGTTGGATAAAATTATGTTTTTCCAAAATAACTAATTTCACAAACAAATATTTTTTTTTTTTACACGATTAATACTTAACCCCATTTTCGCAATTTTTGGAATTAATGCCTTTTAACCGAGCATCACGGAATTAAAGTCTTAAGCAATTAATTTGAGGGATGGAGGTGGTTTGTCATACCCAAGTCCTGATTTAATTAAACTGTGTATGCAGACTGAAAAAAATATAAGAGTTTATCAATCAATAAATTGTTAGTAGTTAAAAAAACTAGGTTACGGAATTGGTATAACAAACTTATACTATTTAAAGGACAGTAAATAGTGCTTAAAGTAAAATGTATTATATTTATATATTTTTTTTTATTAATGTATTGTATTATATTATGACTATTATGTTTTATGACTACCTATGTAAATAAATAGTGGTTAAATTTGTTTTTTAATTATTAAAATTTGAATTATTATATGCATTTCGTTACAATTAATGTATTATAATTATATTATATATTTTATTTTAAACGAGATAAAAAAAAAAAGAGATCCACCTCTACATGTATCCAAGTTTTATATATTTTGTAACAAAAGTTGAATAAAATAAATGGTATGGCAGTTTATTTACTCTGGAAATAAGTTTATTTGTTCCAGAATAAATATCGGATAGGAATTTTAAGAACAATATCCGGACCCTTGATTGTAATAGCGATTCTTCAAAGCAAATCAGAAAACCAGTTTTTCATCCGGTAAATTATTTTATATTCGTAAAAGTGGTCAAACTGAAGAATTAACATTATTGTTTTCTATTATAGTAGTGCATTTTTTTTAAAAACCATTAACCAATTATTTAATTACTTTATATTATTGTAACGGACCCACCCTTATCAGGGCTAATAGATACATATATATATTTATTACATTGTACAACTTATCAGGACTAACATATACATATATCTATATATTATATTATATAACTTCTCATTATTAAATATTGCTAAATATGAATGTACCACACGTGCCGATTTCACATCAGACCCAAAAGGTCATTACAGCATCTTGCGAAAGCAGACAACTTGCAATTTTGTTCACAGTTGACCTCAAACACGAGGCCAACCACTAAGAGAAACTTAACGTTTTTGGCAACTACCGTGCGAATCTCACATCGAAGCTAGCCAATTTCGACCATGCGAAGGCTGCACTCTCATGCCTCTACCCTTCCTCCACCGTTGACATAAGCGGATGCCATGGACGAGCGAGGTCATCCATACGCGGACTTTCGATAATTGCGAGGATTCCCACGGCCATTCAGCGAGCGGACCAACATATAAGGGAGAACTTCAGTCATAGCAGAGCAGATGTACTGGGACCACCATACACTACACTTGAAGTTTCTACCTATCATCTTCTTTTGAAGTCTTAAGCGGCTTATAATTGTCTTAATCATCATATTTTTGAAGCATACTGAACTTATGCTATTAACTGGTTGTCGTTGTACATGTTTTATAAGTATATTAAATTAAATGTTTGTGATTTACTCTGAAGTTATTCTATTAAATATCTAAAAACCTATCACCACGATTGTAACAACACTCAAACAGCCTGCAATACATACATACAGGGCTACAGGGTTGCTACATTGGCGCAGTCTAAAGGGATCGTTCAAAGACGGTAACGACATCAAGTCCAACTGATTTCAACTGGAAGGGACAAGTCAATTGAAGCACTTCGTTGAAATCGACGTTTTTGGAAGAACCATTCAAATATGAACGCTCTTTTGTAAGTAGATAAGAAACTTAAATTGTATTAAGCTAAGTTAAGAATTTTTGTTTTATATAAGTGATAATCTTAAGTGTAGGTAGGCCCAGTCATCTCCCAAAATTAAAAAAAAAAAAAAAATGGAATCAAAAGATACTTTAGGAAATCAAGTTATAGACCAATTAATAGACCTGACCAAAAGCGATAGTAATGAAAGTAGTAATGAAGGATTTTTTGAATCAGAAATTATAGAATCCCCTGAACTAATTAAAATAGGAAACAATGACATAGGAAATGATTGTAACGATGTAGTAGATAAGGATGTTAAGGGGAGGTCAGTTGAATCAATAGAAAAAGAAATAGATAGATGTTATAATTCACAACGTAATGTTAGCAAATCTAGTGTAAGGGAACCTAAACAAAAATCTTAATCACCTAAGACTGTTTCTAACATTATTGACCGTAGTAATGTTAACATTAACAAGTATGCAAACACACGCTGTTGGATTTGTAATAGGCTTGGCCATATTTCCTTTTTTTGTAAATCACGTATGAAATATAGTATTAATACAAATAATAATAATAGAAATTATAAAACTTCTGTTCGAACTCGTCCAGCTATATGTAATGATTGCAACGGTACAGGCATCATTTTTAAAGAGAGATCGCTGAATCGCCAATCGGCGCATTTCCAGTGATAGAAAGAAAAAAAAATGCTTATCACTTAAAGAGAAATAACACCTAGAAACACCTTGACCAGATTGATAGACCATAAATCGAATCAAAAGTTCATATACGTCTCAGTAATACCTATATTATAAATTAACTTAACTATTGTTAATGTCAAAATCATTATTATTACCTAAATAATTAAATCAATTGTGGTTAATGACTTATAACCAAGTAACTTTCAGTTAGAAAAAAATATATATATATACGAATTTAGAAGTAAATAAATAACTATGAATATGGCAATCTTGGCGAGTTTCTGGGTGTTGCCTATAGAAAAAAAAAATTTTTTAATTATAAGTTAATAAGTAAAATGCTGTTCTTTATAATACATATATTAAATAATATGTAGCGTATAAAAAAAAAAAATAATAGATATATAAATAAATATAATATGTTCGCCATTCTGTTAGAGTTGCCGACTCGAGTTGAATATTACTTATTTATTAAACGCCTAAAAAGGGCCACTTTTTATGTTTAAAAGGAAGCTTACCGATCTGCGGATCTATTCATGCTTTTATTTTCCCACTTTGCTATACCAATTTTATGAAAATATTTATATATATACACGTTATATATATATCTTGTTAGGCTTGGAATTGATTAACACAAGGATGTTAGAACGAGAAACTGATCACTTTTCTTTTTAACCAATCCTAACCAATTTTCCAGAGTACTTTGTTAGGCTATTTAAATAAATAAAATTTGAATCGTAGTTTAGTATTGATATTGAAAAGAATTTGTATTAGAACGCTAAACAAATTAATATTCTGAAAATTTTATTTTTACTGCTAAGTTAGAATGGATGGGCAAATAGCATCCTTACACTTATGGCGGATTTTAGTATAAGGCAATTTCTAACAGAACATAAAAAACCCAATCCATTGGATAAATTTTAGGTATACTCGATTGAGATAATCATAAAATTATAAGTCCATTAATAGGAAAGGTGTTGAACATGGCACTAAACGATAAAAATATTAAATTGGGTGTTTCACGGAAACAGTCCCCAAGACACGGTAATATGAATTTTAAACATTAAGTCCGGTAGTCTATACTTTCAATAAAAATGCTAATGTGGATGTTTCACGGAGACAGTCCTTAGTTACGGTAACACGAATATAAAGACGTTAACTCCGGTATTAAACAATGATATAAAAAATAAATTTAGCAGAATCCTACTGCATGTTGATATAAAAAATAATTTGAGCAGAATCCTACTGCATGTTGATATAAAAAATAATTTGAGCAGAATCCTACTGCATGTTGATAATGATAAAGATAAATTAAATATACAAGGTTATGATAAATTAAGAGTGGAAAGATCAACCTAAATCGTTGAATTTCCACTAAAAACTAAAAATGACGCGAATTTTAATAAAGAAGTTGGAAAAATTATAAAAAGTAACGAATCTTTGAACGTTTTAAAAAAAAAAGACTATCGATAAAAAACGGTAACATGTAAATTAAACATTAATCCCGGTACGGTTGAAACCGCTAATATAATTAATGATAATAATGATTTCGATTATAGCCATGAGGTTAAAAAAAAAAAAAAAAATAGATAGCAGGATATCAAAGAATAACGCGATTAAATTACATAGTAATGATAGAAATATTTCGATGAAACCGAGTAAAATGCTTTATAGTAGCGCGGTAAAAAAGCGTGATAAAATGAATACTAATGATAACTCTATCGAAAACACAAATTAATTAATTAACGCGAGTAATATAATTGAAAAACACGACGCTGCAAATTCTATCGAAATAGATCCAGCTATCGAAATTAAATTGATTTAAAAAAAAAAATTGAACGGGTTAACCGACGTGAACAAATTATTAACGCGAATCGTGAGATAAAAAGTGAAACCATACCTGTATGTAATAGAAAAAAAAAAAATATATATTATTGGCTCGCGAATTAAATACCAAGTTTAGCATGATAATTTCGACATGAACGACATCAGTAAATTATATAATCATAAATCCATTATCGGAAGACACACGTATTTTAGTGAATAAATTACAATTTACACCTGGTAATTTACCAGCGCTAACATAACTAGTATAATAAAGGATGGCGTTTTGCCAATAAATATAAATGAAACGCAACAAAACCGTTTAGTTTCTCGCAGATAAACGAATTAAATTATGACAACTTAGATGAATTTGAAGTATGTCACGTAAAAAAAAAAAAAAATATATTACCTTTCAGTGCCTATACTATACCGTACGTATAGTATAACACAACATTATTTTACACCGTACAAACGATATTAGTATATTTAATTCTATTCGGATAATCGACTCGTTGATATTTATCAACCAAACCCCGTATTATAATCATATACGAACGAAGACACGTACCGGCGACACGCGATACGAAATAATATTATTATGTCTGTCATATGTTATAATAAACTAATATATTATGTTATTTTAATTACTTTTAAAATAAAATGATAGTTTTCTTTTCTTTCTTTAAAAAGCTAAAGATTTAAAATTTAAAATACTGTTAAACCACTTTTTTCAATCACTTGGATAAATAGAAAACAAATATAGCAACAAATTGCTATACGGGTTGTTAAGATATATTCTAATACGAAATACAACATTTCAGGGTCATAGGAATGTGTATACTTCGAACAGTCTGCGCGGATTTTCGGTACCACGTTGACACATTATCCGATACCCAAAGCGGGTTATACTATGAAAAACTTGATTCTCTTAAGGTTCAAACCAAGGAAGTTACTCTATTGACTTATTTAGACTTAAGTCAGTACAATCAGAATGCCCAACTACTAGAGGCAAGGGTTAATGCATCATACGAATATTGTGAACACTTTACTAAATCATTTTCCCCTCAATTAGCATCAATTAATGAAAGCTATATTAATTCTATTCACGATCATTGTGTAACTTTAAACACACAAGCAAGGGTTTCTCTATCTAGCATTGTAAATAAAACTGATTTAATCTTCAGAACTATTGAACCTAGTCGTTCAAAGCGGGGAATTCCTTTTAAATTATTAAGCAAGGCAGCTCGCCTACTATTCGGATTATGCAGTGAGCTATGTATACAAAATTCAGATAAAATAATAGACAAGGTATTATCAGGTGAACATTCGGTTCTACCAATTCTAACAAAGGTCCTTGGCCTTCCTAACATTACTTCTAAGCAGCCGTCTGTCGATACTTTGGAAATGATATCCGCATATGACCAAAATAACACAATAGGAGATTTGGATCGCGTTCGAATAGACAACGCTTTAGCTCTAAACGCATTACTTAATCAATTTTCACTAGAAGCGAACACTCTTTTTGAAATACTCCAAAGCGCTAGGTTAGGTTATATACACCCTAGTCTGATTAATGACGAGGCAATTCTAGAACAACTTAAGTCCATTACAGATCAATTCGATCCAAACACCGAATTACCTTACGCCTTATCACTACGAAATATACCTAAATTACTAAAGGTATCCAAACTAGCTATATATTATTCTAACGACCGAGTTGTACTAAAAATAGGAATTCCGTTAACATATGATGAAACCTTAGATGTATTTCATATATTACCTCATCCTGTTTGTATTAACCATAATTGTGTTTTTATCAAGCCCAAATTCCATTACATAGCTATGACAGCCTCACGAAAGCTATATTCCACTTTCGAAAGGATTGATCAAATAGAATGCCAACAAACCGACGAATTTAGATTATGTCCGGAAATTTATCCATTACATCTAACCTCAAATAAACCCTTATGCGAAGCCTTATTATTCCAAGAGTTAGACACAGCACCAGCTGTCTGTGATATAACATTCAACCAATTAGGTACTACGGTGTTCTATAAGTTAACACATCAAAATAAATGGTATTTCATTTCAAACGGGGAGTCAATACTTATTACCTGCAGTAACAGCACCAATAAGTCCCTAGCACTCATTGATATAATGGGTACTGGTATTTTAACTCTTAACGAAACTTGCAAGGCTTATGGTGCCGATCATGTATTAATTCCAAGCACTCCAACTAACGAACAAGATAATTATGGTAACTACATAGCAAATGTGACAATAAAAGAAGCAAACATTTTGACTTCTACTTTAGTTGATCAAATCCTTGACCCTTTTCAATCACCAATAAGGTCCATAACTGATTTTTTAAATACGGGAAAAACCCTCTCTCAGTTGCAGCTTCAACAAAATCTGTTGCAAGCACCAAACAAACATTTTTATTATAACTATATCTTATTTATAATATGTTCAATTAATTTACTAATGATACTTGCCATAATTTATCTACATGACATTAACCATCGGAATTCTTTACGTCAACCGCGACGTCAAATTGTATATACTCCAGGAGAGGAAGAAGGAGTAGAATTAAGAGGAGTAGATTAACATTTTATAATATATTAACTGAAAGTAAAAGTAGAAATTTAGTTTAGCAGTTAGATTAAAAGATTCACTAATAAGAATCATTTTTATATATATATATTTTAAGGGCCATATGATACAACCATGGCCTTAAGCCTATACATTGACATAGGGGACGATGATGAGTGCGAGTTAGACGCGTGTCTACACGCCCTAGGAGAACGACGCCAGTCGATCTCTTCACAACCGGGCCGCAGATACGTTACTTTCCAGAACCACACGTTTTATTAGGGGCTGGAAACATCATATGCCCTGAGATTTGTAGAGATAAAAAAAAAAAAAAAAAAAAAAAGAATATATATAGATATACATAATCCTCTATTGTAGTATTTATTCTAAACAGTAACTCAAATTATAAACTATCACTACTACATTTCTCCCATCCGGTAATAAACCATTTAGTTAAGATTCAATTAAGTTCTAACGTACTGGGTCTTACTACCATTAGAATAAGGATAATTTGATGTATGTAAATAAGCGCACATGCGAAAAAAAAAAAATGTTCTAATTAATCTAATATATTATACAAATAAGTACTAACCACCTTTTTATTGTTCTAAGGAAACCCCATTAATATATATTGTTAACTAACCATTATTAACCTCTTAAGCAAATTAGTTAAGAACACGAAGTATTTTAAACTTTATACATTTTATTATGAATTTAATCATGTAACACAACACTTTATGTAACTATCCCAAGCAAATTGTAACCTTTAATGAAGTTTTTTGTACTACGTCCAAAAAACTAAAAAAAAACGATGGAGATGTAACGGACCCACCCTTATCAGGGCTAATAGATACATATATATATTTATTACATTGTACAACTTATCAGGACTAACATATACATATATCTATATATTATATTATATAACTTCTCATTATTAAATATTGCTAAATATGAATGTACCACACGTGCCGATTTCACATCAGACCCAAAAGGTCATTACAGCATCTTGCGAAAGCAGACAACTTGCAATTTTGTTCACAGTTGACCTCAAACACGAGGCCAACCACTAAGAGAAACTTAACGTTTTTGGCAACTACCGTGCGAATCTCACATCGAAGCTAGCCAATTTCGACCATGCGAAGGCTGCACTCTCATGCCTCTACCCTTCCTCCACCGTTGACATAAGCGGATGCCATGGACGAGCGAGGTCATCCATACGCGGACTTTCGATAATTGCGAGGATTCCCACGGCCATTCAGCGAGCGGACCAACATATAAGGGAGAACTTCAGTCATAGCAGAGCAGATGTACTGGGACCACCATACACTACACTTGAAGTTTCTACCTATCATCTTCTTTTGAAGTCTTAAGCGGCTTATAATTGTCTTAATCATCATATTTTTGAAGCATACTGAACTTATGCTATTAACTGGTTGTCGTTGTACATGTTTTATAAGTATATTAAATTAAATGTTTGTGATTTACTCTGAAGTTATTCTATTAAATATCTAAAAACCTATCACCACGATTGTAACAACACTCAAACAGCCTGCAATACATACATACAGGGCTACAGGGTTGCTACATTATATCATAATAATAGTCGTAAGATACTATTGGATAACACTAAAGTACAACTGATGTAGTAATTATGTTGTCTATATTCAAAAGAAGTATGTCACGTTAAGTTATTCAACGAAATTAAATATTAGTTTTTTAGTAATAATTATTATTACAGGTGATATAACTCGTGATTAATATTGTCCAAAATATGTTCATGAATATTGGCCATTACATCAAACATTCCATATTGAAAAAAATAAATAAAAGATTGAGTATTTAAAGTTTTAATATTTTTAGCTTTGCCGCATGGGTTAAAAGATTGGTAGGAGTGTAGTAATATTTTATTCTGCGCACAATACTCAACGGCACTCCACAATAGTAAATTAGTTTTGCCAAGGTTAATTAAAAATCGGTTGAACTAGAAAGGGACTCACAATTAACTGTTATCAGTTTGAGTTTAAACTAATTAACATTATAATAGAAAATGTATTTTATATTATGGTATTAGAACAAAATTCATTCAGTCATTGGATCACTGTGAATCACCACCGAGGTACACTTAATTTTTTGGCATAAACAAAAATAAAGCAATATGAATGTGTTAAAGCTTCCTGTGTTTGAAATATTAAATAGATAATTTATACAACATATTTTCAATGCACGGACTAGTATTTCATAAAAGCACCTAAGATATACCTAATATAACCGCTATCCCATCCATATCATACGAAGATGTTATTATTTTAAAATTATTTATGAGGCTATAATGTTTTTTTTTTATGAAAAAAAGGTGTTCTTAGGTTCACTCGCCCTAAATAGACAAACACTAAAATTTAAGAGGTAATTTTACTAGAAAAAATTCTAGAAAACCACATGCTGACATACATGAAATTACAATCTAAAATTATAATTTGTAACGTAAAGAAGATGAATAGAACAATATCATGTTTTAAAATAATATATTTTCAAAACTGTCTAATACATTTTTAGTTTAGATTTACAATCGCATATATTTTTAAAACTTACATAATATATTTAATAATATTACTATTCAACTATTCTGATGTGTTTGACTAACAATAAAAAAATATGTCTTTTTATTAATACAACTACTGAAATTTTTTCTCGGCCGGTTATTACCAAAATTGTATCTGAGTACACTTAAATTACTTAAAAATATGTTTGAAGTGGTGATGAGAAATCGAAAATTCCGATTTAAAACAAAAAACGATATTTCAGCCACTTTAAAAATGTTAAACCTATTAAATAACATTACAGTATAAAGCTACAAAACATTTTACTTAGGTACACCCTAAGTAAAATGTTTTGGTGAAAATTAAAAATAAAACGCATAACTTTGACTATAACTTGATTTCGGATTCAGGATTCCATTTCAACAAATCCGAAATCCAAAAGAAATTTTTCTTTTCAGTGTTTTTTTTTATTTTTACAATTTTATCGATTATATTGAACTTAAGTACACAGCTATATATTGTAATAATATTTAATACTTAAATGATTTTTATATGGCTTAAATAGCGTTTATATTTTTTGTGAATATACAGATTTTCGGATTCACATTATTATAGTTAATGTATTAATATTTGGTCGTTATATACTGCTAATAATGTGCTTAGCGACGGACAAAAGCAAAATCGCCAAGTCGATAAATAAACAATAATCATTACCTACGGTTTTTACTTTTACATCAACTCAAGCAATTTTCTTTCCGATGAAACTCAATTATTTCTTTAGAAATTTTTTTTTTATTGTTTTTTTTTTAATGGATAACAGTGATCGAAACTCGAAAGGATTGAAGGTTGTGTCACTGAGACGGCAGAATTTTCGAAAACGATGTGGCGACTATTGGAAAAGCATTTGTCGACCAATTCCAATACAGGTATGTTTGTATTAATGTTATTCAAATAGTGTTTATTAGTTAGTATACATTTGAAAAATATTCAAACAACATACGACTTTCGTATATTCTTTTAATGATTTTAACCATAATCTTACAAAAATTAAAAACCCTTTTTACTGTTAAACTATTTATCATGTTGCGGTAATATACATATTATGATATTCAAACGTTTATTGAGAGGTTTGGTGTGAAATCAATACAAAAGTTATTAAGTCGATACATATTTAAAACATTGTAATGTTTTTATTTTTTAAAAACTATGAATCAAGAACAAATTGCAGTAGACAGACGACCTATTCTAATCTTAACCGGTCTAATTCTAAAAATATTATTTGCTGCAAATTATTGTAAGCAGAATGCACTTATTTTTCAATAATATCGTAAAAATATTTTAAACAATATGCTTTGCTCGTTAACAGTTTACTGTATTAAAAATAAGTGTCAAATTATATTTTCGATACCAAACAGTTTGACCTGATGATAAAATATACTGAATTCCTTTTATGGTGGGTAGTCATTGTATAGATTTTTGGATAATTTTTTTCTGGCACTGTTATTTAATTACCCTCAATCTATAAGCCAAAAGGATTTCATAGCATGCGAATAAAAACTTTTCAGTTTTTTTAAAAATTAATATGGCTTTTAAATACATTTTTCTTCGACAGTAACAGTAGTCAAAGTTTGTCGATAATTTTATGAGATCATTTTCTTCGAATTACCTGTATTATAACGTTGCCACGTTTGTTCGCCATACACGATTAGTAACTTAGCAACGATAAGTCACTTGGTTACGGAAAAATCAAAATTGCCTGGTCGATAAATAAACTGTAAACAACAATCATTATTTGTATTTTGCCAATCAGTGAAAGATTTTTTTTCGTTCACAAAGTTCAATGTTTTCTTCAGAAATTTCTTTTACATTTATTTTTTTTCTGTGACTATCTTAATGGAACGGTGATGAGTGATCGCAAATATTAAGACAACAGAACTTTCCAAAAGTCGAAATAGCAACTATAACGGTAATATTACAAATATTTAAAAACGTTTTGTTGATCAACTATTTGTATCTGAACTTTTTGATCAACAATCACAAGTAGGTGTTATTTCTTTTTTCGTTTGTTGTTGATCGTTTAATCATTTATGTAGTATTTATTTAGTACCAGACAGGATAATCCAGACATAAGTTTATACGACTATCTAATATTCTTTTTTTTTTATAATAAACCATTGGTATCTGAAGTGTTTGACCGTCAGCGACAAATATGTATTATTTTAATTCGACTACTGGAATTTATTCGGACCGGTTATTATCAAATAGACCATTCAACCAATTTTGCTTAAATAAAAACTACAATGATCACCAATAATCTAAGATGAATATTTTTGCCGTTACTTTGTCCTAGTTCGTTTCTTAAAGAACTGCGGAAAACACTCATAAACATAATCGTGGTGAAACTATACGAGGTTGTAAAAACTCCATAATAACTATGCTAACCGATGAACAAGTCGACGAAGGAACTGACAATAAAACAGAAAGTGGAAGTTGACAGGTACCTACCTATAAAATAACTAAAGATAATTATTGATTACAGAATATTGTTTTTATTTCTCCGCTATTTTAGACATACTATTTGCTTAAAAACACGGTCAAAGTGATGAATCGGACACTTGAAATAAACTAATTGATAAGGGACGTGTTTGTTAAGCTAGCCGTTAACTACTACAAAGTGCAGATACAACTTGGGTTGATTCGTTTGTCAGGTCAGATTTTTGTTTTACTTTATATTTTTTTGTAGTTTAATAATAGAGTGAATTTTAAATAAATGGCCGTATTATTGCCATTAAGTTATCACAACTTACAACATACCTACATGTATTTTTCTTCAATGCTAACATCGAAATTTCTCAAGATAGTTAGTAGGAATTTATGGTAGTCGACCGATTAAATATAGAATATATTATACAAAATTGATGATGATGTTCGCCAAGCATTGATTGAATAATGACGCGAATAACGTGCCAAAATAATTTTATTTTGCGAGATTTTTTAATAAGGTTTATGTTACCTGGTTACCACTTACATTAGTTTATGTGAAGTTTACCTTTAATGGGCCTTTA